AGAAGTGCGGAACATGAAGTGCGCATGCAATGCAAACATTTCATTTCATTGCCACTATTTGTTTGCAACATTGATTCCTTCTCCATTGTTGAGTGATTGTTAAACACAGCCAGGATCTTTTAGTCTGGGAACCAGACAATGAGTACACATACAGGTACATTTTTACACATTGCTTCTTTGTGACTTCACCTCAGACAACTGGGAAAGTGTGATGACGCCTAGTCTGCCGCGGGGGCCAATTCCATAGTGCTGCTTAAGCGAAAATTTTGTTTAAGCGTGGAAAACCTTGCTTGACAAATCAGGTTACCAGCCAAAACTTCTTCTGATGTAGAGTGTTCTGAAATGGTATTTAGCTGTCTTTTGGTTACCACGACAATCACATAGAGTTTCAGCTGGTGACCTTTGTTTATTAAGCAAGATATTTTTTTTTTCGTACTTAAACAAATTCTGTGCTTAAGCCCCAGTGTATTCAGAGTGTACACATTCAAATGAAATAGCCTGAAGTTTTGTATCCTGTCGCACGTTGTCGTGCACCTGTGCGTAAACAATTTCACATTCAACGGGGAAGGGAAGGAGAAATACACTGTACATATATTGTTGCTCATTATTGTTTGATGTTCTTCAAGATCACTTCCCTCTGGGAATGTACATGTTTATCGGGGATAGGCAGACTTCCCAAACAGTGACAACATGAGAGATGTTTTTCAGATTTTTAATTTTTCTTCCAGAAATTAGAACATTCTGATTTTAGGCCTGTGAAAACTCCAAAATAAAAAGGAAAGAAATTGGAGCAGTTTCAAATAAACGGGAACAATTGGCAGGCATGATGATGTTGTTTGCTTGTTTGTTAGGATGTTTGCTTTATGTACAGTGCATGCTTTCAATCACAGTTTGGTAAAGCTCCTTGGGTTTTGCGCCATATGAGACATTCTTATTACTGGGTAGCATAAACAGTTTTCAGTCTCGTATTACTACATGCATTTTCACAATACCCCAATTTCCAAGCCAAAGCCCCAACATCAATCCATATCTCAACCTTGAACAAAAGCACATTATGTTGAGTGTACATGTATAAAATACAGATGACTCATTGCATAGTTAAATTGAACACAGGACTTCTGTCATGTTTGGTTACAACAGATGGACTGACCTAGAACAGGTCAGGACTCTTGACATGTGCCATACACTTATGGGCCTGCCTGCATATATCAAGGTTTGGGCAATCACATACCAACATCTCTGCAACAAAATTAAGTGCCTCAACTGGGGTGCATGCACATGTACCTCAAGGGACATCCAGACAAGTCTAATGACATAAATGTGATCTTTATGTTGGAAGCAAATTTGCTAAGCTACGAGTCAAACAGGAAACAATGGCAAGACAACAGAAAAAGCATGTTGCTTCGGTCCATTCAGACATATACACATGTGTCTTATGCAGGGTTTTTACATCTTCTCCATCACATCATGTACATGAATTTGGCACCTTATTTCCACACCCTGGGTACTTTTGTATTCAATATGTGCATAACCCACACACAGACGTGCATAACCCACACACAGACGTGCACCAGGTCTGTGTACACTAATCACGTGGCTTCTTCCTTGGGGTGTGATTTTGTTCAATGCTAAGAATTCCAAGGTGTCAACATGTCCAAAGTCCTTCATGCATACAGTGCAAATGGATGGATTGCACTCTTACCGGTCATTACAATGTACATGTACATGTGTGATGGTTTTTTACAGGTCCCTGGGAATTGGGAAATACATGTACGGGGTAGCTCTGCATTCTGCATTCAATGACAGCACAGGAACCTGGCTCGTGTCTGGCTGTGCAACAGAAAAAGGACCCTGATCTGCCTAGAAAAGAGTGTTTCACTGCATTGCTGTTTCAGCAAGTATTGTACCAGTTTGCAGACTGTACAAAGCTATTATTTAGATGGAAACCACAAAGCCATCTCTAACCCTACAGTCCCATATCCTCCATTTTCAATACGATTTCACATATACCCCTGGGGGTTAGGGTTACAAAACAGCGAACCCTGTAAAAACCTGTCCAAGATCAGTGACCAGTATCTGGCCCCACTTGACAGAACTTGGGCAATATTTAGAAATAAGAAATATTCAGTGCTCATAAATCAGACATACATGTATTGTGCATACTGGTCAAAGTCTTTTCTGATAGTGTTATCAATTTCGGTGCAAGGAATGCAACGGTGGAATTTCAGCTATGGATCATTCATGAATTTCAAACAAAACTTTCTCTGTATCTGTGACATGATTGAATCCAAGTCTTAGAGTTACATGTTTGTATGAATCATTACAATTCCATAGAGATTTAAATAAAACTATTGTTCTACTACATCACTACACTACGAATCTCAAAATAGATACATACATACATTTGTTAAGAAGGCAATTCTCATGTACACGTAATCCTTGTAACACGTTCAATACTAATTTGGGGCCAAGGCTTTATTCGTGAAATACAGTGAATGAAAACTCTGAAGATTCTACATGAACAGACCGGTATTGAACACTGTGTCCAAATTACAAATACACTCTCACAGAAAGACACAGACATGAACAAACCGGTATTGAACACTGTGTCCAAATTACAAATACACTCTCACAGAAAGACACAGACATGCCCCTGTTACTGTGAAAATGCATGAGTAAATAATGTGCGGAAAATCTTACTGTCCCAGGGGTATATGATCATTGTACAAATCTAAAACACATGGCTAATGTATGTGATTTATCAGGTCACAGAAAGGGGCTAACCTTGACGGGTGTGATTATTTGCAGACCAGCAAAGACATGTACATGTACATATAATACACACACAGTACACAGAAGATGGCCATGAACTCAGCACCTTGTTACTGATGTACATATCCAGGGACAGATGACAGTATTTTCCACATATTCACTTGGTACAGCTCAACCCAAAGCAAAGAGCCACTTAGCACTTTCAAACAGTTAAGAACTTTTACAATTACATGTAACACTTCAAATGATGACCAGCTCCACAGGCAATGAACATCACAAGCTTAAATATCTTCCAAAAATATATCCGTCTAAACTTTGTTTTTTAATGTTGCTTACAATCATGTCAAAACAAGAAGGTTCCCACTGCAAGCATGCATTACATGTACATGAACTGTACAATGTTGAGAATTTTCCAACTGCAGTGATTATGTTCATGTTATGTTTTTAAAGTTTGCTAGACCCAACCAAAAAAGATTATGTAGAACACAATACTGAGAGATTGCAATTTCCTGGTAAAAATTGCCAAGAATTCCGCAAGAAAAGGACTGCACGGACTGTCAAAGTCTGCTGTCAGGTGAAATGTTGTTGTTTACATAATGTACATGTACCATAAGGCAAGGCACTTGATGTACATGCATTGGTATATGTAAGCCTATAGGCCCTATAGTGAATACATCAGAAATCAAAACTGAGAGTCCAAGTGCAACCTTCAGTAACTAGACTGTTAAAAGTTTCAATATGTTGCCAATTTTCATTTCAATTAGAATCAATTCACTCTAAGCCTTCTCAATCCTTCCAATTCAACCAGGATTTTTTTTAGTATTCAGAAGGACCGAGTAAGGAACATACAACCCAGCATAGATGCTTGATGTCTTTGAACCTTGAAGTGCCACAAAAATGCTAATTTGGTTGATTTAGAAGACTGAGGAAGGTTCCTTACATTTCTGGGCATATGCATAGTAATCATCTTCACTTTGATGACAAATCTGAGAGGGGGACTGGGAACAGCCGTCAAAGGACATGTTGTGGTCCTACCATAGTAGCATGCATGCACATTGAACGTATAATCAAGGGAAATTCTCAAAGCCATGACTTGCCATGAACACCAGATAAAATTCATTTATTTAATGTTAATACCCTTTGCAGGGAAAGCTCAAAAAGCCCTGCATCATCAAGTGTATTACTATTCTCCATTTGAGGCTTAACAGTACATGTAAATGAAAGAACAGCTACTAAAAATAGATGCTACAATCCCAGTGGACTTCTACACGTACATGTATTTACATGTATACGTGTACCTATTTGTTGTTATTCTAGATTTTCTATACCCGTACTGTACATGTATGGCTGTACGTCCGTGCCCATTGTAAAGAACTCCTAATCAAATACATGTAGTTCCATATCTTAAAAAAACAACCACGACCTTTGGAGACAATAAAGTGCCTAACAACCTTACATTAATTATGCTAATTTTTTCTCAAGGCTCTCACTGCCTGCACACATTTCACGGTATCTAATTGATTTAGTCGTTGTTTTCCAAACACCTGTATCCAAAATTCACCCCTGTAGCAACACGGAAAAAGCGTTGTGTTTCTAGTATGCATTTGGAGGTAGAATGCTGAAGAGTGGCAGGGACATTCAATTCACTTGACTGAATGCAGTAGCCGGCTTATCTGATTTCAGCTGATAGTTGGTGAATAAGAGCAAGTTAGTTCATATTTCTGTGGACAGGATGCTATGGAGTCATGGTGTGTGTACTTAGCAAATTGGATTAATTGTCAAATATGTTACTGAATACATGCGTGGCTATGATGAGACTGATTTTATTCATATCAGTCTTAGTCTAAGTTTGTTTGTTTTTCTTGCTGGTTGGGGATGCTTGTCTGTATGTTAGTTTGTTTGTTCCCAAGAGCAAATTGACGTTACCTTAATGAAGGTCAAAGCTAGGAACACAACAAATGGTAATCTAATCACCAATATTAATCAACATGTTTATGCCATCGCAAGACACATGCTGTGTGTGATTCCCCTGGCTACAGAAGGTAATAACCTACATGTACCTATAGGAGATGGATGTACCTTCTGGCTATGATTTCCATAGGAGCAAGTAATACACCATGCCATAGCCAAACATAATGGACATAGCCAGAGCAAAATTTTAGCAAGCTCTACATGGTCTAGTTCCCATCTCATAGCTTGGTTAATACAGCCGCAAGTTAGACACTTACATTGTTGGTGCCACTCTCTCCAGATGGCGTTGTTCAATCTGATCTTGTCCTTCCAGCTCAATCGCATTCCTTTGAAGGATTTCCATTTTGGTGAAACAAGTTTTGCCCTGTTGGTAATTAAGCAAGACTTTACAATTTATCAAATAACCCCTTCTTAACACTGAATTACATTAGAAAAGAGGTTATAGACTGCTGGTGCCTTTGATGCTGTTCTTTGTTATTTTGATTTAGTTAGCATGAATACCCTACAGGTTTTCTTGAGCCTATCGTCGTAATGCAAAGCCCTTGCTCTCCAACTCCCTCTGAACGCATAACCTCTGTGACTTTGCTAGCAGAAGTGGGCCAAGCCAACCGATGGACTTGATCCAAGACACATTTATTTGCCATTTTTCCATTTAAATCCACACTGCATGACTTGTGCACAGAGGTTTTTGAAATTCATTTTACACATTCTTTCTAAATTTGCTGTACAATTTGCTTCATTCTTTACACAACATGTCTAAATGGTACTGTTACGCCCCAACTAAAGCATCTGTCCCAACTATAGTTGGGACAGATGCTATAGTTGGGACAGCCCCAACTGTAGTGCTGCAGTTGGGCTGGCCCAACTGTTGTTGACCAGTTTCTACAGAAATTTTTCAACCTTGTCCAGGTTTATGCATCTTACACTTGACACAATTCATCTAAAATATGGCACTTCCTCTATGACATGACACTGTAAACATTATGACTTCGGCACATACTGGGCACATGCACACTGGACCTCTGTGTTGTAGTTGGGCCGGCCCAAATATAGCACTCTAGTTGGGACGAGCCCAACTGTAGTTGGGACTGAGGTTATAGTTGGGGCGTAACAGTAATAAGCTGAACACTTAGAGCCCCAAAATGTAACAGTCATTTTTTACAACATTAACAGATTAGATCACTGACTGTGATAATTGTGTTTGCCAATTTACAATACAGTAAAGCAATAAGTAACCTCAGTGTTCTCTGAGGGCGTGAGAAAAAAATTCTCAAGTTTACTCAGGTAGGAACTTCCTGCTTATAAGTGCAGACATCTTAATCATTCAACTAAGCCTGTCGAAGTGTGCTGGCTGGCTCTGTTCAGCGCAGTCTTGTCTCTTGTGCATATTTATTGCATTCCCTCCTGAGTTGATTAGCCAAATCAACTCACTCATGATGGAGTTGAATAAGAAGACTGCATTGAACAGCTTTAATTTTATCTCATGTTGCAGAAGGTGCTGCAGTTCACAGGAGAGGACTTGTATATCACAAGTCACAACAATTGTCTGTGCCGGTATGCACGATCACACACAGAGTGAAGGGTGCCTAATGAAATACACTGTATTTAAATTTCCTATTCAATTGATGCACACAGCAAGTCCATGGAGGTGGGTGCATCTGCATTATAGCAAAAATTGCTCCACGGTGAGACTCACAGCATTGCAAAAAGTTGCATAAAGCAATGTGCGTACACAAATTTTTAAAAAAGAAGATTTTCTGCTGAAAACAGTACTGAATCTGGGTCAGTTGTCTTTTGTTTAGCACATTTAGTACCATCTGCAAGTGCTTCATGCCTGGTTATGAAAACTTGCGTCAGGCAGAATCAAATTTCCACCCAAAAAGAGTCCAGATGTTTTCTATCAACAAAATGAATCTCGTGTAAACCTGAACATTTCATTTGTTTTCTCCAAAATTTTCTCTTTGTATAAAAAAAATTCAAGCTACTGTCCAAACAGCTAGGCTCTCCACTGCATACATAATCGTCATTCTGTTAATGTTCTGTTAATGTTATTACTAGTGTTGTGATCTGACCACATGTTGCATGCATTATTATTAGTGAGGTATTTCCCTACAAGTTGCTTATGAAAACTGCAACATCGTAACTGTAAGTGTAACCATGGTGTAACTGGTTTCCCGTGCTCACCAACATGTGCCAAGGCACCCGTTGAATTATGTAACACCGTTAGGATGATGTAACGAGGGATTTCAACAAACGTGCAATGGAGCATGGCAACCCGCACGACTTACCCTGTGTAGGCCAAACTCATGCACTCAAAAAGCTTGGAAAACGAGACATCAATGTCCGAAGAACCCGTCCCGTCAAATTCCAGAAACTGGTAGCTGGCGCTTGGCTCAGTCGGTGCATTGGCAAAGTTGTATCCACTCTTCCCGCCACTGTTGTGCTTATGCTTGATTTTATGGGGGTTGCTCACCATGAAATGTCCCGAGTGAATCACCTTGTCTTCCCCGTTGTCAGTGGCGCTAGGAAGACTGCTGTCGCTCCCGCCAGCGGGGCTGGTGGACTGTTTGTCGTAAGGATCCTCCTCGCTCTTTCTCCAGCCACCCCTGTCGAACTGCACAAAGCCAGTCTGTGCCTTGGATGTTAGAAAATCATCCCTTGCCATCTTCCTTGAATTGAGTCCCCAGATATTGGTTAAAATTGGTAGACTTGACCGCCCTTGTCTACCATCTCTGCTACCGCCATTGTGTGCAAGGTATGTGCATGTGTATGTACAATGGCAGGATATTCAGACCGTGTTTGCTGTGCCTATGCTAGGCCGTGCACAAACGTTCACGCACGCGCGCCCACAGCACAAAACAGCATGACGTCACCTGGCTGTCTATTTACCACGCGGAGATAAAAACTAATGAAACTCTTCGTCTTACAAAGGCAGTTCAGAGTCTACTTTTCAACAAATAGAAGTCAAATCTTTAGTGATACTTTGACGTTTATCAAAATGTACACAGAGTCTTGCCGTATGGACGAAATTTAATCCCAGGTCATATTGGGGGGCCTTCAATCTGGTGTTATCAATTTGTCAGGGTGCATTCACATAAATGATATGACAGTTTAATACATGTAATTATCTCGAAGGTATAATACTTCTTGCTGCGATTATTTCCAGGAAAACCTGGGCTGCGCAGCACTGTAATGTGACCCCCAGGTGCACAGTGCAGCACCGGCAGAATTTTGCGCGGAAAAAAATCCCACCGAGTTATTTACACGGTTCATCTCGCTGGTTTTTCCAGACCTGGAGAACACAAACTGACAGACGGTTCGTGAGGTCACGGCCTCGGGGAAGGGAGTTCAAGGGGGCGTATACGGGGCGTAGTTATCCTGTCTGATCTGAGGCAACTCTCCACCTAATAGAGAAGGACTGATGTGATGACAGCTTAAATTCTCTTTACCAGTTGTTTGCTGGACAGTGATACATATCAATCATTAGGTTCAAGGTTATTCTCAACTCCAGGTTTTTCAAGCAAATTTGTTTTTTGTTTTGTTCTAATCCCGCAATTTCCTTGTCCTCAAACGTAACTTCGAATTCCTGACATATTTTTATTTCAATTTTGACCATCATCTGTGCGCATGAAATAAGTCAATAGTTTTTCATGAATATTTATTGTGTATAAACGAAAAGTATATATATTTGGTATTGATTTGAAACAGTGGTTACTGTTGTACTTTGTTTTTATTTTATGTACAAAAATGAAAAATCTAAATCCACTCCCAAGTGTTTCAAAGTGATTACCCCCAATTGTATTGATGAATCCCCAATTTTGAGTTTGTACTCCAGGGACTTGCTGGGGTTAAGTGTCTTGAACAAAAACCTCTGGAAAAAGTCTATAAAACCTTAACCAGATTTGACTGTTCTTTAACCCTAAAGTGTATATGTCTTTTGAATTACCAATGACTCAGCTCATGCATGAGCCTGCAACAGCCTGTCATTGGAGACTCTTGGGTGAATGAAGCCAGTGATGCACCCAGGCTTTGCCAATGGGGGGGGGAAACAGGAACCCCCCCCCCGAAAAAATTTTGATGCTCAACCCTCCCACATGGCACTGCAGGAGACTGGAATGTGGCCATATCAGAGCTACTTGTTTCAGGTTGTATCTTTGATTTTGTGAAAGTAAAAAAACAATGGAAAACCTCTCGGGCGGTCAAACCTCTTCAGGCTCCCAATTGGGTGAACCATTGAGTGAAGCATGCCTTTTGCCTGTCTTCAGAAAGCAAAATTTTGGCTAATGATAAGAATTGGTTTGTGGGTTGGGTCACAATTCCTGCATCACATCAATGGTATCAAATGAAAGAGACAGGAAACTACTGTAAATCCTCAAGGGTGAATCCAGATCCCATTTTCTGTTTGGAAGGGAAACCAACAAGTCATACAATGTTTATCATGACTTTTTATTTTATAAAAGGTAAAACTAAAGTTTAGGCTTTTTTTACATGCTTTTGGAGGGAATGGAATTAACCTCCCCTCATATTGCTTTCCTCTCATTTTTTTTCCCAAAAGGAACAACTGTGCCTTTGAGGGAGTGAGGGAGAATGACTCCTGTTGCCCCCCCCCCCATCAGTAAAAGCCCTTCTCCCAACCTCAACTTAGCTCATCTACAGTTTCAACTCCAAATCAGCAATAAACATCTCAAACATTTATGGCTGGAATCAAAGGAAAAATTCCCTGAACTTTAGCCTCACATGAAACAAGTGAATGATTCTGGAGCATGAAATGGAGCTGCCTTGAGCTTGGGGCACTAGACTTAGGGACCAAACTATTCCAAATAGAGCCTGAAGCCAAAGATAGAGCTGAAATGTAGAAACTTACTGAACCTAAGGAGTTACCCACTGTATACAACAGGAATTCGCACAAACCATTATCAGCAGTGCATACCAAGGACAGATCTAGAACCAAATGTTGGGGGGGGGGGTTGGAGGGGCAAAAGTTTTGAAGGGAGGGGTCCCCGAAATTTCAAATTTTTGTCACAGAATCTTTGATGGCTTTTCTGAGGGGTGAGACTACATATTGGGCCTTTTTCAAGTGTTTTGAAGGGAAGGGAAATGAACTAGACCAAAATGCACCTTTCTCTCACTCATTCCAACAAATATTTGGGAGGGGGTTTCCTTTTTAATAGGGGCATGGCCCCCCACAGATCTGTCATTGGTGCATACCAGGAAAAGGTCCCACCTCAGCAACCAAGGCCTTATTCAAATTAACTGGCTGTGGCTAGGAACAGCACACAGGTCAATGGGAAATAGCCACAGAAACTACCTTCCATAAGTGTGCATGTTCTTCCCAGGCATTGTCATAACTTTTAGATGAAGCCTAACTTGTGACTTTTAGCAAGTGGAGTTTCTCATACAATTCATACATCTCATTCAACTTTCATTAACCATCCTTCTGATGTAAACGTCAGAAAGTCAAAAATTCCTTCCACTTGTTTGCCCCAGTACACAGACACATATGGGAAATTTGACTGATTTTGACTGATATGACAACTGTGTCAAGAGTGTATCTTTGCAGAGCAATGCAAGGATCTCTACATTGTAATGAAACTTAAGCTCATTTTTCAAAACCTAGGTAAATTTCCTCCCATTGTGCAAATTAATCACTGTCATGCATAGGTTTCCCAATTTAATAGATATCCAAAAACATTCTGCTCCTGAGAGGTCAGGGGTCAACTCCACTTGCACGTCAATACAGCACAGTTCAATAGCAGTTCTTGCAGCGGGGGTCAGCTGTCATGAATATTTATAGGACTGCAGAGGTCACAATCAAACCACTCCCCAGGCCTCCTCAAAGCCAGAGCAGATCTTTGCACATGTGAGGGCAGCAGACAATGGGTAAAGGCTGATAGCGAATTCATCTTCAGCATAATCCACATCCACCTTGACAGGAATGAGTAAAGTAAACAAAAAAAATGTGAACATGAGATCGAATAACAGCAAAACTTTCTCTCTTTATGATCTATAAAACTTAGATAGACAAAATGAGACAACAGTAATTTCCATTTCCACTGACATTTTAGAAAGGGCAGCTGTTTATTTTTACCTTCCCATGAGCCATTGCTCCTATCACTACGACAACTGGTTCTTCAGCCGAGGCCAGGTCCCGGGGGTTGACGCACTTCTCAGCACTGAAGCTGGTGCTGATTTTCTTGCAGCCTGCTGGTAGGTGGTCCGAGACTGGGTTCTTGACCACTTTAAGCAGCTTCTGCGGACCATCCGATGCACTGATGCTCAACTTGTGAAGGAGTTGTACTGACAGAAAACCAAATACCAACATTTGGGCAATTTGAAAGAGGAAAAGATTTCTTCTAAATGTATGAATACGAATTTGAGAATTACATTACTAATAACTTGTAATGATCAAACAAAATGGTTCCTCCATTATGACTTATGGCTTTATGCCATGTCATTGCCACTATCTATGAAACCAGAAAAATCTATTTAATGTCCTTGTTATTCTACCATAATGACGGAACAAATATTGGAATCATATTGAAAATAGTATAATTTTTTCCCATTTTTTCCCCATCCATAAGACCAACAAATGAATCAAACGTATTTTTGTCAAAGAACTCATCTGGAGCACCAACAGTCCTGTGCTATGGCTTGTTACACTGTCAATGTCCTTACCCATAAGACCACAGAACCGATCAAACGTCCTCGGTATTCTTGTCTGAGGACTGATCTGTATGAGGACATTCTTTTCAGTGTGGACAAAGACTTGAAGCAGGCCAGCCCGATTGAGGGGACTGTCAAACAGCATTAGCAGACACTGAATGGGAAAAAAACACGTAGAAAAAAAACTGTTTGAAAAAGGAATGGCCACATACCAGCTGTTAACAAGAGAGTTCACTGCCGATAGCTCTTACATAACTTACAAACAACTAAAAGACATTCTTTTACTGCAAGAATTCTACCCTTGTCTTCCTTTATTTACTCTTTTTAAACAAATACACAATTTTATGACTCAGAGGAAAGAAATTCCAAGCAAAGACATTTTCTTCTTAATTCTTTTGACTGTAAAATGGGATTACATTTTCATGGTTGGTTTTATTTCTCTGGAAGTTTGCAGGTTCTGTGTCACCCTGCCTTGAATTATTTTTGGCTACACCTATGATTTACCTGATGGGTGATATCTGGGCGACATTCTGAAGGATCTTTGTTGAATTTCTTCATCAAGTGCTTGTGGCGATCACAGTTGAGTAGTTCATAACTTTTACCAGCCTAGAATCAAAGATTCAACACGGCTTCCATAAAAAACAACATGCACACTCTCAACGACCAAGAAACACATAAATCTACACAACTTCTTACGCATGTTATCAGTGTTCTCCATGGCTGAAAATTTTGGCAAGGCGGTAGACAAAATTGCGAGTGCTAAGGTTGAAGCCCTTACGGCGTGGGGTCCAGGGCCTGCTCAAGGGCTCTGGAAAATTCTGGATTCTAGATGCTCTGTGGTGCATTCTGGGGCAATTTCCAGTCCACTTTTGTCTGTAATTTGGCCCCAAATCTGATTGCATAAATTTACAATGTGAAATATTGGTTAGGATATTCTTCAGGAGGAATTTCTTCATCGAAAGATTTGATGACGAAATTATTTTAATTTCAGGAGCACTTTTAGCAGAACCTCATGTTAGTGACTTGAGACATGCTTGAGATGAGCAGAGCATGCGGTTTTCTCAATGATCAGTTGACTGCGAAAAGGCAGAGTAAAAACAAGCCTCAAAATGTGCCCTTGAATAGAAAAGGACAAAAAAATAAAGAAATATGTTTAGGCAAAGGTAAGTTTACCTAAGGTAAGTTTACCTTAGCTACCTAAGCCTTATTGCAAATAATGCATGGGTGATTTTGCACAATGGTAGAATGGCATTGTGGGAAGGAAAAAGGGACAACGTTTGCTCCTTTTTCCTTCCCACAATGCCTTTCTACCATTGTGTAAAATCACCTATGCAGTTTTTGCGATAAGGCTTGTCGCGCAAGACCGAAGGGCTGACGATGGTCTCGATCATTTCGACAATAAAGTCTGACAAATAACACAAAAATATCACTGATACTGTACTAACCTTCACGGTCTCCAGCGATGATCGTTCTAACACAACAATGAGTCTCTTCTTTACGTGTTTGTCGTGTAAGGTCTTGATTATTTTAGGTTTCTTTTTGCTTGGTTCGCCTTCGTCCTCCTGTGCCCTGCGCGCAGCCATGTTGAATAAAACTTATGAACGCAGTAGTATAGCGCCACCACTCATTTGAGTTTGTCAAACAACACCGTTTAGAGATCTGTATTCTGTACTTTGAGAGAATTGTTATTCCTGGCATCGCGAGGGAAGGAAGAAGAAAACAATTAAAAAAAACAACGGAAAATGGCTAAAGAAGTTTTAAAATAGAGATGAAAGGCCATGAAACTGACCAATCTCGGACAAAGAAATTTGCCACCTCCTGCTGTTGTTTCTTTTAGCTGATAAGCGCATTGCCCCGCTCCTGCAATTCCTCCCTCCTGAAAAAAAGCGGTGTACCCACTTTGAAAAATCGTGGCGATGCCCGTGGTAATCTCCCCCATCCTTTCTGAGGTTAAGAACTCGCGTTCTTTGGAGAAGGGGAGAATATATCCCCCAGGTCATCCTTCGTCGTCCTTGATGTAATTAGATTTAAAAGTGATGGTTGTAAATATATGATAAATATATTATTGTAATCACAAACAGCGCCACTGAGTATAAACCGTGTCCTGCCCCGCCGGCTTTGTTCTCGATTTTCGAATTTCAAACCTCCAGAACCTTTCTTTTCATATCTTAGTCACTGACACAGATCTAATCCATTCTTGAGGAATCGTGACAGAGAAGTGACATTGTTATGAATTAAATGAGGAGAACTAGATTCTTCAGCTTCAAACTGAAAGTTGCAGTTTCTCTCATCGAAGGTAAAAATTTGACTCATCTTTAGTCGAACCGGCAAGCGATAAGACTCATGATTATGCACTATCGCATCAGGACATGAGCCCCACCTGAGTACAATTGTGAATTTTTTTTCCAAAGGTCTAGGACATTACTGAAAACACACTGTTTATAAGTGAAAATCAGTGTAGAATAAAACTCAATATAAACAAAATTAATATAAAGTCATTGTTTGAATAGTGCCGTACATTTGCCTAGAGTAAACAGAGCCATCATGTTTGCTAATACCCCTCTTAACGTGACCAAAAATCGATTTCCCGCATCAGCATCGTCAGCTGCAGTTTCCTCGCCTGCCAGGAAATTTGCCTCTTCCATAGGTTGCCGGCGGCCAAGCACGCCACTTATAGCCAAGCCGGTGAGCGATTTGCTTCTCGCGTGATCACCAAGTTCGTGTGGCAGGAGCAACATGCATTACGAGTCTAGTCTGTAATCAAATGTCCAGGCTTGGAAGAAAAAAATTACGACTCTCTGCTTGAGCAAACACTCTTACTCGACAACAAAGACGTTACAACTCTTCAACTGGTTCATAATCTTGATGGGGTACACACTCTTGCGGTCAGACGAAGCCGTCTTCTCTTTTGTCATGGAAATCCTGTTGACTACCCTCTTCATCTGTGGGACAAACCTTGATTTGTCATTTGGGTGTGCTTGGTGACATGTCGCCAGCCAGTGAGCTCAGGCCGCCAGAAATAGCTAACACTGTCGTTTCGTGGCTGAAGATGCTCGTAGCGTGCTCGGAAGTTATAACGACAGGTGTTTCACAACGAAAGGAGTGTTGCATTCTTCAAGGGGAAAAGTAGTACTTTTTGTCTCCTAAACGGGATGGAGTAAAATCTCGGCAAGGAGGCATGAACCTGTCCTCCCACTACAAGGAAATCTCAATAATTCAGTAGGTGGTTTATTGATCTCACTGTTGCCTTGTCATGTCTAGGTCGAATTCCAAGGCTTGTCCTAAATTCAGGTCAAATCAGAACTTGATGGACGATCTGGGAGTGTTTGAGGAGATTTGTACCTGCAATTGGCGCCCGGGGCTCGTCCACCGAGCCGGCCAGATCGCAACACCGGAGTTTTGTACCTCGACCCACCAAGCATGGAGTACGCCGCTAGCGGGCTGGTTCAACTCTCTTCCCTTGGGTATCCTGCGGCCGAGCCCGCCTGTGAGCATCGACCGTGGAGGTCGCAGTTCAACCCCCAGGAAACCGGCAACCAACAACAGCAAACTGGCGCGGTCCGGTCAGACCCCGACGAAACCCTCCACCAAATCAGCCGGAAATCAGCGAGCAGAGAGAAACGAGGCTCCGTTCAAACATCGACAAGAAACGAGCGAGTACATCAAAGAGTATCGGGAGAAAAATGTACTTCGCCTGGTTGGATCGGACGGAAGCCGCATCAACGACGGGAACTTGGCGTTCGGGAAAACCCTCCCCGATCCATATGCCTTCAAATCAGAGGAGTTTAGGTGAGCTCAAGACTTACATAATCCTCTGGAAAAATGAATAAAGTAATTATACACATCGAAAATGACGCTCCAAACCCGTATAATTACACCAATCTAATCTCTGAATCATTCTACAATTTATCATTTAGAGTAGAGGGCCATTTGGCTTACGTTTACAGTAATCAAATGCAAGAAATATAAGCGAGTTGCATCTTTTTCAAAACCGTGTAAGAACCATTTTGGATGGGAGGGGGAAAAGACAACCCCCTCAAAAATGCATTTTTTTTAATTTAGCGAAAGTAACCGCATTATTGTCTGTATCCTTTCGTCCCCCCTTTCTACGAAAACGTTTAAAGATAACCCATAAACTAAGCCTCATACGCAAGATTGCCGATTGAAGAAATCCTCCATTTTTGCTCCCACCTCACCCCAAGAGTTGGTTTTAGACCTGCTCTTGGTACGGATGTCAATCTGGGGCTCTTATCTTCTGCCAGAGTACTAGTGTCTACTTTATCTATTAAAACTGAATGTGACAACCAGTGATGGAAAACTGCCGCGCAAAATATTAGATATGCTTTCCCACACCTTAATCCACCAGCTGGCCTGTATGGTGCATCGTACCATGTGTATTCATCAATGTAATCATCAATGTACGTGGTGGAAATATTTACCAAGCTCTTGAATTTTTCATAACAAGGGCAGAAAACGTGTACTTCACTGCCCCGCCCTCCCCCTTGGTTAGACAAGTCATCGGTGGATCTTCCAGCATCCGTTTGCAGGAATCAGAAATACAAACAATTCCAGTATCCACATTTTTTAAATATTCAAATTCCCAATTAGACATTAAAACAAATTTTCATCCAATATTATTTATCTCGTTCAATTCGAATATACGAAACACCAGTGAAGATCAACAGAACCGACATTTACTGGCAGTCTGAATAGCCCATACCCAGCTTTTTTGCCCGGAACAAATCAGCAAACTGGTCACGTTGCTCAGTTGATCTGTAAACACCGGCCAATATTGTCGTATATTTTAAGATGGATAGCTAGCTGTGTACGCAGTGCCAGTTCTTGTTAGACTAACACTTGTTCCTCAGCAGTCTGTTTGCTTTGACTGGATGGCATGTGGCTCTACGAACAGGTTTATTTTAATCATCGATTGTTCTATTTTAGGAAGTTATTAAAAGTGACTGATCAGAATTTATGGTACAATAAATTTTAACTGGAAATTGTAAATTCTAGCTTCGTCTACCATCTCAACTGCTGGTAATTACTCTGGGGGATCTTTTATCTTTCTGCTCTACTTTTTATTTTTGTTATAGTAAAGCAGTCGAAATATGTATCGCTGCCAAAGCCTGTAACAGCGACTGATACCTACTTTTCAATTATTATCTTTGGGGAAAATTGCCCGAGGTATTTGGAAATAGGGTTAGGATTTGACTTTGGCTTAATGTGGTACATTTTGTTTTAAATACAACTTTGATATCAAAATGCTCTTTGGTCATTTCACTCTCAGGAAGATGTACAGTCGGCTACGCGAATACCTGATGAAGCGCCCCAAACGCCAACACGCTGCTGGGGTGCCCTTGGCAGAACAACACAGGTACGGCAGGGAGTTCATTCTTCGGACAGTCTAAAGATGTCATAAATACTCCATACGGTATTGTCTCATCCCATTCACGCCATGCTCACTGGCGAGTATCGTACTCCCGGTAAGCCTATTTGCAAAGACCTCAAGTATCACTGGTCATAAAGCGCGACCGACGCTGCTACCATTTCACTGGTGTTTGTGTCACTGGCGTCTAAGTCGAAAGTGTTTTCTCTCAGTGTTTTGAAACACATTGTTCCTCTTTTCCAAAATGCCAACCACAACCACACAGTAACCACACAGGTTAAAGTCAGGCTTGGTGTCAGGTCAATCAAGCTCGTCACACATAGACGGGGTTAATGATAAACGCAATGACGCGAAAATCCATCCTGATTTTGTGAAAAGTATATACCTGATTATCTAAAACACTTCGTCGGGTCTAATTAGTTTAAGATACCCTTAATCACAAAAACTAGTTACAATCCAATCTCAGTTAATTCATTCTAAAACTAGGGTTGTGCCTGAAACGGGCTTCAGACCTATCTGCACGTACCGTTTACAAATGTAAATGTACTACTATAGTATTTAACGAACTTTAGAAACAAGATTCGCGCGCTTGGCACATTTTAAAATTCAAGAGCAGCATTCTTATGAGCGACAAAGTTAAATTTCCCTTCCCACCTTTTTGAAACAATTTGTGATTTTTTCTTACTCAAGCATGCATTTCATTTTTGGGCACGTGACAAACAGGTTTGCAAGCCCACCGAGTGAAAACACTGCCGAAAAGGAACAACCCACGTCCCAGTTCTCAATTTCTGATGAAGTCCGAACGAACTTCTCAGATATCTTCAGCCCTACGTTCCAACGACCGAAGGTGGATATGTTTTTCCGGCCCTACATCTGTGGGAGTGGCAGCATCCAAACGCCGGCCAAATTGCGGTACTCTCACAGCGCCGATCGGACCGGGTCGCTCCCCAGCATCCACCGTGAACCCGACGCAGTCCAGTTTCCCATGCCCGCTTACGTGGTCACGGAATCTGGGAACTTCTACCAAGAGGACAAGATTGGTTCCTCGTCCAAGCTGGGCGTAGCAACCCCGATGGACCTTCGCTTGCTGGAGCCCAAGTCAGCCAGCGGCAGTCGGCAGAAAAGTAATCGGGGAAAAACCAAACCGAATATCATGAGTGCCGAGTTCGACACAGCCATGATTCAGTTTTTGCAGAAAGCCAAACAGAACTTGGAGAGAGTGCGAGAGGAACGGATCAAGAAGGAATCACTGGACAAGTGTCGCTTAATGTCGAGACGGGGGAAGAAGAATGACTTTGTAGTAACCTCTGGGAAGCAGAGGACGGTGAAATCTAACACAACCGTAACGGACGTGAGGAGGATCAAATTGGGAGTGTCTCAGTCATGAGAATAGCCAGGTGACAAGGGGAAAAACTCACTGCAATGTTGGTTGCCTACTTGCGTCTTAAACGTCTTCCAGTTTCGTCAGGCAGAGCCATTTTCGCCAACAAAATACCTGCAGAAAACTGAGTATTCTTATGACGACGACAGTTTTGAACATGTGTAGTTTCCGTAGCTCTTCACACTTCTCTCAGTGAAGATCGGGGCTGTATTCGTCCAATCAACCCGCAGCGGAAACTATATTAAAATCGGACATTAATCGTCTGCGATCAGTCCTCAGATATGCCAACGAGTGCTCTATGGATCATATTCAACTGGTGATCAAAATAAAATAAGATTACTGCAGTCATCAAGGTGTAATTTCTGGGGGACATTCTTTTTAAGAATAGGAGGGTCGATCATCTAAGAGTATCTTGTTTCAAAAGGGAAGGGTAACAAAACAGCACTGTTCACAGAACGTAGTATGTCCTGGTGTCCTTCATGTTACCTTTATTTAAATTGACCTTTTTGTTCAGATTCAGACCTCGAGATTCACATTGCTGGACAGTAAGATGTTTCTCTGAAAAAGAGAACGGTTAAACTGAGGAAGTCAACAAAAATGGAGACATTGTTACATGTCTTTGTTAATGTGTTAATACATCCTTCTTTTCGCTCAATTTGTTTTATTGATAAAGTAAGAAACCAGAATTGTACGAGGTTTAGGTGATGCTGAAATAAAACAAAAACAACACAAAAACATCCCCCAAATGAAACGAAGAGCACGTCAAAATGTCTAGAGAGTCAAAACCTTCCAAGGCTTATCAACATCCGACTCCACAGTTAATCGCCACACTGGACAATGGTGACAGTCTCGTTCAGAGAAAGCAATGGGTCTCTACACGGCCAAGTCAAACAGTGGAGTCAAAAACACTCCGTCGTTCTGCTTAAATCGCTCGGTAAAACATGCCGAGTCCACGGAAAACTAGTTTGGATACTGAACAAATCAAAGGTTTTCATTTATCACTGGATCATTACACCACAGAGTCTAGCTGAACTTTTGAACCTATGATTTACTTAAAGCCACTGGTAAAGCTATCAAAACCAAAAGGATGACTATTCCAGTGAAAATATGAAACTAAAAATATGTCTTTGATAACCTGAAGAAGGCCGTCTATCCTAACTGTGGAAATGAGACATCATGAGACGTCAAGGAAGAAGCACTTTTCATTGTGGGCTCTCGAAACTCTGTTTCAGGTTGTAAAATAAGAAGCACTGGCACTATGAAAAGACAGAACCCTGGAGTAGACAAAAACTTTGATTCAATTCTGTAATGAAACGGTTTCGGTATCAGACCTTGGACTGCCAAGCAGTCATAAATGGATAAGCCAGACCAAATTACAAACTCAAGCGCCACCCAATGGACCCTTGAACCATGGAAGTTCAACCTTTTGGTAGTGGAAAGAATCTGAGAGGAATAGGTATGAAAACAATTACATAATAGAAAATAAATTAATGTCAATTAAATTTTGCCTTGCTGAATACTGGTACATGTAATTGAAAACAGGTAGTAAACAGGTAGTAAAGTTAAATTAATTTATAATTTTGGTTATACACACACACGCAGTGTTGGTCATAATAAGTAGACAAATTTCTTAATTTATGGAAAAAAGTGCATCAGTTATCATTCTCTCAATTGTTTTGAAGGCATCATTAGCGCAGCCCCTCTCAACAAGTTCCTGAAAGTGCTCATGCGTCACCTTGCCACTTGTCAGCATGAACATCAAGCAGGCGTTGGTAAGCTTGGAGCAGTTGTGCTTCAAGCCAAACTGGAAATGGCTCACTACAGAGGCAGCACTGATGTGGGAGTCCACGATGATGTCACACAACCTATTCTGAACTGGCCAGAGAAGAAACCGACCCGAGCAAGCAATCGCCTCCAAGACCACTTTGTCCCCACTGGCTGTGACTTCGTTCATGTGGCAGCACTGCAGGTGGAGACATCCGTACAAGGAATGCAAGATCAAAGTCAGGGCTTCTTTGGAAATCTCTTTAAGGGGTACCTCGCTCTGACCAGATTCCAAGTAAGGACCTTCAAGGAGACAGGTGAAGTATTCTGAACTCTTGGTGAGGATACTCCTGTGTGCTTGGACTGCTTCTTCCTGATCTACCAGCAATTTGGTGTCTGCCTGCTGTTCTACTGCATCATAGCAACAACCTTGCTCTTGCGACTGAACCTCTTTGACAGTTCTGATATTACTTCTATCATCAGTTTTTAGAATGGTTTCTGTCTCATCTGGATTCAAGAATAATGCAGTAGAGAGGTCAAATAGGCATTGTACAGCCTTGTTGAACGTATCTGGCATGATGGTATCTTTGCGAAGAAAATCAAGGAGAATTTGAAGGCCTTTGTGCTTGATAAGAAGTCTTCTCTTGAGGCTGTTTGTCCTAAACACAAAAGGAAAAAAGAGTGCACTTGTTAAAGTTTAAGAACACCAGTAAAGGTGCGTTGAGAGGTAATTCACTTCTACAACAGTGTATTGCGTTCATCCCGTCCACGCATAACTGTCCTTTCTTACACTCCTTAAGCAACTAGACAGCAAAGGGTCTACTGACTTCAGAATCAAAGACCTGAAACCTATACACTCTGAATCTGCTATTTGAAACATTTCCAGCACCTCTGTACCCATCTCGCCTTCCCGGAATACATTTTTTCTTTTTAGACGGTTTCTTAAATTCCATCTGGGTTCCTTTCTGGTCTTACAAAGACAAGCGTGAGTTTGATTTGCTATACTTACTGACATATATAAGGTATAGCTAGGACGCAGGCCATCTTTCCCTTGAAAGAATTGGACATGAGGAGGCGGAGCATGGTGCCTTGCCTGAACTGGCAAGTTGATACCATAAGGGGATACAGGGGTGATGCCGTGTCTCCCCACAGTTGGGACTGTTCCGATTCCACAGTATCCAAACTGCAAACTGAAGTTGTGTCTGATGCTGAGTCATCAAGGAAATCTGAGACTACATCAGAATCGAAACTTTCCTTTCTCCTCGGCCAGATTTTCCTGGACGATGCTACTTCTGTGGATGTGGTCTTAGGCTCAGACACTGAAGAGTGGCTTGTTTCCAGCTTGATCTTTCTTGGATCTCTCATCTCTTGTGAGCTGCCACCTGAAGTCTTGATTTCACCATGGGCAGCTCTGCTCTGCATGCTCCTTAAGTCATTTGTGCTTTGACTTCTCTTGACTGTGGAGTTTACGTTATTGGTTTCCATGGCAGTGGCCAGCTTCTTGCTCTCTCTTTCAATCATCTTCCTAGCAATGAGCATAGGGATATGCTCCATGATGAGTTGCTCGAAACAAAGCCTGTTCCTCAAGATCCTGTGTAGGGTCCGCTGGCTCTTAGACTGCAGGTAGGCTGAGCTTGGCTGGTAGTCAAGCAAGACAGAAACCACTGACTCCCTAGCCATGTGCGTGCTTGGATCATCCATGTGGGAATATCGGGAAAGTAATGTCACAGCAGCATACTCTCTCCTCCTAAGTTTCCCCTCCTCTTTTGCTCGGCGAATCTCCATGTCTATTTCAAATTTGTCCACAAGGATCTTTTCCTTTGGTTCTTTTGACCCCATGAAAGAGAGCATGTTTGTGTCTGACTCTGGATCATCCATGCTTGGAGCATCTGCAGTCTGACGGTGAACCGAAGTGGTCTTATTTCTCCCAGTTCTCATCCTTAAGCTCTTGGAGTGAGGCTCCCTGAAAGTGCCAGCTTCCTGACCGTATTCAGCAGTGTTTATGGAAGTCACATGTTCGTCTAGCCTCTTAGCAAACCCTGTCATTAGAATATCTTTTTCCGTAAGAAGGCTATCAGTGGCACATCCTACTTTTGAAATCTTTGCCTTCTCATCAAGAGTGAGATTACAAACGGCTTGCAAAGTCGACCCTTGTGAGAGGGAGTCAGTTAAAGTCTGTTGATGACTCTTTATCAAGCTTTTGTGGACTGGGGCTTCCTCAGACATTGATGCTATTGATGCAGTGCTGCCTTGAACATCTTTTGAGCTAGCACCAACAGACTCCAAGTGGCCAAATGCTGTAGGGGGTTCGTCAGGGGCGACTATCTCTAATGTGGAGGGTTTGCTCGACAAAGTCTGTGAGAGGCTCTCAGAGACTGGTGACTCATTTTCTTGAAGTGGTTGTGGAAAGAGGTGGTCACTCTGGTCTGGTGAGGGCTGGGGCTCCCATTGAGGGGAATGTTGAGGTGACCACTGGGGAGCTTGATGGTGTGAGTACTCGGGTGAGTGTTGTGGTGACCACTGAGGAGACCATTGGGGGGATGACATTGGTGAGAAATCGTATCTGTGGTATAAAGAACAATAAAACTTATGCAGTTATAACATCATGATTACAACACTCTGGGCACTGCATATCAACCCGATCCGACTACCCACCACTACTTACAAGTGAGGCCTGCGCAGCAAAATAGTCATGCTCTAACTGTGATGGTAATATATTACCGTATGATGCAATACACTAGGCAGTGAGAGTTGTTCGAGCCTTCTGCTTGCAAACTTTCGTGATGCTGACTAGCCTCACTTATAAGTTTGCCTACTGTATCGCATCATATGAGAATATATTGCAGCTATTTTGCTGCGCAGGCCTCTTATAAGTAACTGTGGGTAGTCAGATCGGGTGGCATATTGGCAACACATGGGACACGTACTTACACTTATGCTTTTGCCCAGTATAAAATTAAGATATATCAAAAATATTTTAGTTGTAAATTTATTACTCGGATTTGTTGAGAATTTATGTGTAGGTGCAGTCAATAATGTGTTTTTTTTTGGTGAGCCCCGTCTGTTGGAGAAAACAACACAGCCATCAACCAAAATGCCAAATTACACCCACATTAGGCCCGCAATTGGTCAATCTGCCTCTTAACAGTGCAATCGGTAAAATTTAGGGCATGATATGTACATCAGTTAATTACTTTTCTTCCTAATTCATTGTTGTGAAAGACTGTTTTGAAAAAAGGAAAGCAAAATCCAAGGAATTGTACAGGATTGACCGATAGCACAATGCGATCAACATCTACAGGCAAATTCCATCATTAATACCTAAGTGGGCTGAGGGACCGTGGAGAAGAAAAACTTGAGAAGCTTCGAGGAGATAGCCCCTGGCCCATTTGCTCACGATGCTGTAAGAACCACTCCCAGTCCACACTTGGAGGTGAGTAAGGGGTCGCCTCTGGATTGATGTAGGACTGATAGTTGGTGGCAGAAGATTCAGGAGACATTCCTGAAGCACTTGAAGAAGGTAGAGAAGATGAGGTGTCTTCATCCTCCATCATCTCTGTGGCTTGAATTGTGACAGACATTGCTGTGGAAGAGAGTCCCATCCTGGATTGGGCATCATCTTGTGGCTTTGCTGGAGCCAACAAGCAGGTCTTTTTGGCTTTTGGTCCTGGCAGTGGTGTGTCCTTCGAGGAACAAGCTTGCATGCCGATGAACGATTTAACATTGCAGACTTGTTTCTTGTCAGGACCTTCACTGAAGGATCTTGCCCTTTTCCTTGAAGTACTGGGGAATGCCCCCGTCACTGTGACATCATCTGTACATCTGCTGGATGACATCGATGAATCAAACTCTGACTCTGTCAAATCATCTCTACCACTTCCTGTAAATGCAAAATATTCCACTGAGTACGATGACACTATTTCCAGCGATATAGTCACACTTATTATTTTACATAAACATTTTGTAACCTTTAATCTTTGTTCCAGATTTGGTGATGAAAAGACAAATGGGTTTCAGGAGAATACAATGTAGTATAATTTACTGTAGACTTACTAGCTGATGTCATTACTTCTTGTCTAAGCTGGGATACAAGAACCTGGATGAACCCACATGCAGCCAGGTAGTTCAGACTTTGCTCATCGTAGTAGAAATCCATCAGGGCAACCAGAATTGTCTCATGAAGTCTCACACAGTCTTCACTGGAGCTCTTCAGGATGTTCAGGAGTACCTGTAGACCTTCCAGATTCCTGAGTCGGACTCTGTTGACGGCCTCTCGACAGCAGAAGCAGAGACAGTGGATGTATGTAGCCCAGCCGGGGAATGTGGTGGCCTTGCCACGTTCTATGAAGACCTCAACCCCACCTGCCTTACCAGCAGCGACCCTGACCCCTTCAGATACCATCAAATTCAGTAATGCCACCAGGGCATGATCCTGGATAGATGGCTTGGAGTGAGACAGAAGCCTGACTAAAACTTCAACCCTGTTGTCTTCAACAGCTTGCCTGCCGGCCTCCTGATAGGATCTAAGGGCTTCAGTGCTTTGTCCCGATCCCAGGTGGTTGGTTAATTCTGCAGCTGTTTGAGCAGCACAACCAATGAGTTTGATGTCATCTGAATCTAGGCAATTAAGTACAGCCGATAATCCCTCAGACTGTAGGATCTTCCAAGCATGCTGATTGGTGTCTGCAAGTATCCTTATCAAACGAAGGATGCTTTGTCGACAACTGGAATCAGGCGTTTCCTTCAGCAGTCTGATAAGTTGGGGGATGATGTCTTTATGATGAATATCAGCACATAGTTTAGGGACTTCTGCTAGGTTAGCAAGAGCCCTAGATGCTCTATTGATGATACTGACTGATGTGTGTGCTTTCAACACTTCAACTGAAAGATAAAATATTCAATAATGTAATTCATTGTTGGGGGAAACATTATTTAAAATGTTCAGAAATGCCTTTCCCAGGTTGATTTTTATTTTCATTTCACTGCAAAGTGGTAATTCTTTCATCTACAAAAAGACATAATAGCAATCTGTGCATCAATTGCTCTTCAATAATATGACCTATCTCTTTTAATGGATTCAGTTGAATAACAAGTGGGTTCTCCTTAATAATTGTCCAGCAAAGTCAAAAATGCACACCAAATAAAGGTACAAATGCAGCCAGTGGCATTTTCTCTTACCTATTGCTGGTATTCCTTCAAGCTCATGGACCTTGAGAAGGGAAAAACAGGACAGAAATTAAACACAATTAATGTCATTTGTTTTTGAGTTTGCGGGCTGAGTTGAGTTCTAATTAAAAAATGATCAAATGTAGCAATCAAAATGGTTGCAGATGAATGTAAATGTTTTTTTTTTGAGGAGGAGGAGAGGTGTTGATAAAATCTACCAAAGTAGAATGTTGGACTAAGTCTATGTCAAAAATGATCAACAATAAATGGTTCCATGAATGGGAAGTGGTTGGAGATAGAAGCCTAAAGTTGGGATTCTCAATATTATAAAACAAAGGACCAAACCAACCTGAGTAGAGTTTATGGACCTTAACCCAATCTGACCTGATTTGCACTCACTCAAGCCAAGATATAGGTCCTGACTCAAACTGATCTAAGTTATCTGACCCATCTGATGAGACATGACCTGACCTGCCGACCAACTGACATGTTTCTACTGGTGCTGTGAATTTGTCCCATGTGACAGAACTGAATCTACATAATTTGGAGTGAATTTGGTCAAATTTGAAGCAACTACAGCAGAACCACCCTGGTCCTCTGTTAGTTCATGCCTGGGAGACTTACGCCCTCTCTTCAGAGCAAATACTGGTACGAACTCCTACTTTCCACACACACATTGATGCCCTGAGGAGACAAGATCACTCGGAAAGTGATAATGCCCATCACTGTAGTAGAGACGCAATTTTTTATCCTCATTGTAGGTTAATTATCTTGATAAATAAGGAAAATAAATGTGGAAGCAGTCAGCATTTGTGCTGAACATACTAATTGTCCATTTCATTATTTCTAACAAGTCTGACACAGGAAAGGGATATTTTGACACCAGTTAACTGTACACATCTGTAGAAATGGTGACGCTTCAGTACTCAGTCAGAATTCAACATAACCTCTTATTCCCAGAGAGCAGTACGTTCGATTACCATATGTAGATAATTGTATTCGTGTAACCAGCGAGCCTAGCAGCTTAAATAAGAGGGATTAAAATCTTCTAAAACAGAAGTAACAACTGTGGGGTGAGTTTTACAAACCAAATATTAAGGCCTGGGCCCAATTAAATTCTTAAAAATGCATGCAGAGTTTAAAGTTTTTGGAAAGAATTATAAATGTTTTCCTAGGATACACTTGTTTTCCCTTTTCGGTGAGCTGTTGAACCATGGCACATTGTACCTGCTAAAAGAAAATTGATGAGGTACTGTACATGTCTTTCTTGAAGTTCCTGCAATTTCTGACTGTTAGATGCCCGTTTTTCTTCAGTGTTTTACCAGCGGCAAGCGTTACATAATCTGAATGATAATTGTGAACATATTACAAAAGCCCTTCTTTGTTGGCCTCATGTCTGAGAAAGACCTTTTTCACTGGCTGCATCTTTCTCTTTAATAGTTTTCAGGTTGATATCAATAACAACAATGTCATGATTGGAAATCCCGTCAACAACTTCAATTTCAGCAATGCTTCTGAAGTTGTTCATAAACACTAAATCAAGAATATTGTGAGTATTCCCTTGTGACCTAGTAGATTCTCTAACACACTGGGTCAGACCAAATTCTGTAGATATGTCAAGTAACTTTTCTCCTATCATCTTGCTGTATCCTAGCCCACTGGAAACTGTTCCATCATTCCAGTTTATATTAGGAATATTAAAGTCTCCCATGACATAAACTGAGTTGGAGTTCAGTTTCATCTTCGTGGTGGCAACAAATTTCCTGAGCTCATTTAACTGGAGACCCTTTTGGTCATTTGGCAGCCTATAATAGGTTCCAATCTGGATAGATTTGTTACGTGGACCCTTGATTTCAGTCCAGATAATTTCACAATTGCCCATAGCATTTTCGAATTCACTGGAGACTAAATGTTAATGGATGGCCTGGAAGACACTGCTGCCAGTTGTCTCCAGAGGTCTAGGATGACAGTGTAATTGGCACATATGCGAGGAACTCATTTGCCAGCGCTTGACTTAAGCTGTTGTGATGAGACAGCCAACAGCCTTGCCGGTACAAGAATGGAAGATGTAAGGCTGCTTCTCTTCACTAATTTAAGTGCAATCACATGTTGTAATTCGTCAGGGGTAGGAGAATATACAAGAGACAACCTGTACCCCAGAGGCATCTGATTTAGACGCAAATCACCAATGTCATCATCAAATATTTTCCTCATGTTGGTGATGAGGATTGATCGGTTACAAGTTTGTAACAGATAACTCAATATGTACATCAGAAGAGGCCAATGTAGGTTAATGCGAGGCCTTGGACTCCTGCTTTTAGTTTTGATTAAGTGATGAACATGACGGACGGATTGATGATTCAAAGCAGTCACGGTCGTAGTATGTGTATAGGTGGGAAAACAAGACTGGTAAAATCAGCATAAATGCAGTGACCATAAATCCAGCATGTAGGAGATTCAACAATAAAACAAGAAATAAAGTGATAAAACTCAGGATGTCCGCATAGCCCCACTAGTGTGGCACGGACTCTCACTCCCGATCCATCCCTAAGGGTGGATCGGAAGTGAGAGTCCGTGCCACACTAGTGGGGCTAGATGTCCGCACTGCCCCATGGAAAATTCATTTCCCCAATGATAGGCCTACTTCATTTTGTAATGTTTATGGTACCACCTCTTAAAGAAGGGCATTAGGATATTGATTTGTCCAGTGAAACCTACCCGTATCTTCGACTCCTGTTCTCTACAACATGTGGCCAATACACTCAGGGCAAGGTCCGTTAGTTTCTCATTCCTGTCGATGTCACATCTGTCCGACTTGACCACCTGCACGATTTCTTCCAAACCACCCAACCTCCGGAACTCGTCAACAACCTCCAGTCCTCTATTTTTACGAACTAGGCCCTGAATCATCTGTAATCCATCCTCCAAATTACTAGAGGATCCAGTGCGGAGCTTCTGCACAATGTCTCTCAAAGAAGGTGGAGCTCGGCGTGATCCGCGTCCGCTGACATGACTGGTGTCACTGGAGGCCGCCATGTTGTGTTCAGGGATTTAATTTTTGTCTCGCATGATTGGTGGCGCTGTTTCTAAACACCGTGAAGTCGCTGGCTGGACGCGCAGACAGCAGATATTTTCGGTGAATTTTAGTGAGAGAGATGTGCGAATTTCCGTTTATTCCAGTTTGTCGTGGTGTCCTGAGTTCTTTGCTCCCAAAACATGTCAATAATGCTGCCTTTATGTTTATGTAAAATGTTCCTCTCCATACCCAAACTGGTCTTTTACATGCAGGGGGGGACAACTCGGTTTCTTAACTGCAGATATTGACATGGTTTTCATCAATAGCTCTAAAAAGCAATTCAGCAAGGGTACGTACAATGGTCAAATTACACATCATTATTGACGTCACCATTATCAGTATCACTGCCTCAGTTACGAACTCACCAATCAAGTTATCACCATCAGTCAACAACTCCAGACGGACACTAACAAATAGGAATCATTTCATTCTTTGGATACTTTATTCATCATGCCTAAATTTGGAACATTTAATGACACTGTGAGACAGTTTTTTATTACAAAGTCCCTTAAAAAGAAGATACATTTTTTTTACCTTGGGCTGAAGAGAGATAAGTTCATATAAGCTGCTTCAATGCATTTGATTTCCAGAGGGGAATATGCTATCAAATACAAAAATACTTTTTACATTTGACAAATTTACAAAATTTGTCAAGTCCTTTATACAATATTAAAAATAAATGGTGTTACGTAACAGATGGTTAAAACCGTTTGCATGACAAAATTGTTTTGCACACCAAATTGTTTTGCGCACAAATGTGCATGTTTATATTTAAGGATAAAATACCAAATTGAAGATCTCATAATCTGCAATGCTTCAAATGAGAATGCTATGTTTTCTGCAGCAATAAGTAGTGCGTTCAACTGGTTCGCATCTCTGCTCTGAAGCGAAAGTATTTTTAACATAAGCTGATACAACAGCTCGGCACCATAATGCCAACATTTGTGACTCTTTACAATTTTTGTCAAAGACTGACCTCTCACGTGGACAATCCGCAATCCTTTGATAGAATAAACATTTTGAAAAGAATGAGAGAGACTTGACGTTCCTATTCACTGCTTCATTAAGTTGGACCCAATCGTCAACAAATAGCAACTGAAAGTTGAGTAGGTTCCACCAACATGCAATGAAGATTGCAGTGTAAACACATAGCACCAATGGCTCAAATGCTTGTATATCTTAAAGACAACACAAAGACACCATGCGAATTACTTCTGTAGACTGTAACAAAAGGTAGGTATTCATTCTACATATTACTGTACAAATACAGATATTCGCTATTGACAAATATACAGAATAGGTCCAGAAACTGCCGAAGACAGCAAGACAGACAGAAAGTGGGCATGATGGAAGCAACAACTGTACAGTTTATGTACACAGAAGAACCCGAATGGCCTTTGATAATGACAGTGTTGCCCAGGGCCGAAGGAAGGGTGACGACTCACATTGCTCCTTCTTGCCCAAAATGTTGTCATCAATTGTTCAATGTATTAGGAGATAGAAGTGATTACAGTCTTTCTTTGAGGGCAGTTACAAGTATCTGGCCATGCTACTGCACCGTCTTGGTTTTGTGAGTGATTCAGAAGGAGGAAACCAACCTCCAACAAACAAAAAAATACCTCTTGCAGTGCTCTTTTCTGTGACCCTCGCAGAGCTATTCAACCTACAGAAATCTGATTACAAACTCACTGGTATCCTGCTCTGTCATCCACAAGTTTTTAAGTATATATTTAGCTGGTGCACACAAAAATGCTTTCGTGGGCTTTGTTCTTCATCTGCTTGTTGCTTAAGGTTGACATCACTGGTACCCTTGTCTACAGCCTACCTGTTATCAGGTCCGTATTGGTCAGGTGAACCCACCCATGCTGTGTGCGTTGGTTTTTT